TAAGTGTGTGGTATTCGTTTACAGTGACAGGACTTGTTATTAGGCGGTCAAGAATCAAAGGTCCGCTATCACCAAGCCCAGGATCCTCACTCTGACTGGTGGACTGTGGGGGCAGCTGGGCTCCCAGTGATTAGGGCTGGCGTGAACAGCTTGTCAGCCAACACTGGAAAGGCAGAGCATTCATTCCCTTCCCTTGGTGAGCAGTTATCTTGTTAAGTGGTTACAGGTCTTTTTGGAGGAAAGCAAGGAGGGCCCTTTCCCTGAGAGGCATTTATGCTTTTATTCAAAGTACTGTAGTGTCCCAGAGCAATTAGGCAAGAAGAAGGAATAAAAGGAATACAAATAGGTAAAGAAACTGTCAAAATATCCCTATTTGCAGACGACATGATCCTATACCTTAAAGGCCCAAAAAACTCTACTCAGAAGCTCCTAGACACCATCAATAGCTACAGCAAGGTAGCAGGATATAAAATCAACATAGAAAAATCATTAGCATTTCTATACACTAATAATGACCAAACTGAAAAAGAATATATGAAAACAATTCCATTTACAATAGCCTCAAAAAAAAAAAATCAAATACCTAGGTGTAAACCTAACAAAGGATGTGAATGACCTCTACCAGGAAAACTATAAACTTCTGAAGAAAGAGATTGAGGAAGACTATAGAAAGTGGAGAGATCTCCCATGCTCATGGATTAGTAGAATCAACATAGTAAAAATGTCGATACTCCCAAAAGTAATCTACATGTTTAATGCAATTCCCATCAAAATTCCAATGACATTCATTAAAGAGATTGAAAAATCTACCATTAAATTTATATGGAAACATAAGAGGCCACGAATAGCCAAGGCAACACTCAGTCAAAAGAACAATGCTGGAGGTATCACAATACCCGACTTCAAACTATATTACAAAGCAATAACAATAAAAACAGCATGGTACTGGCACAAAAACAGACATGAAGATCAGTGGAACAGAATAGAGGACCCAGAAATGAAGCCACACAACTATAACCAACTTATCTTTCACAAAGGTGCTAAAAATATATGATGGAGAAAAAGCAGCCTCTTCAACAAAAACTGCTGGGAAAACTGGTTAGCAGTCTGCAAAAAACTGAAACTAGATCCATGTATATCACCGTATACCAATATTAACTCAAAATGGATCAAGGATCTTAATATCAGACCACAAACTCTAAAGTTGATACAGGAAAGAGTAGGAAATACCTTGGAGTTAGTAGGTATAGGTAAGAACTTTATCAATGGAAACCCAGCAGCACAGCAACTAAGAGAGAGCATAGATAAATGGGACTTCATAAAACTAAAAAGCTTCTGTTCAACAAAAGAAATGGTCTCTAAACTGAAGAGAACACCCACAGAGTGGGAGAAAATATTTGTCAGCTATACATCAGACAAAGGACTGATAACCAGAATAAAAAACTAAATTCTCCCAAAACTAATGAACCAACAAAGTAATGGGGAAGTGAACTAAACAGAACTTTCTCAAAAGAAGAAATTCAAATGGCCAAAAAACACATGAAAAAATGCTCACCAGCTCTAGCAATAAAGGAAATGCAAATTAAAACCACACTAAGTTTCCACCTCACCCCTGTTAGAGTAGCCATCATTACCACCACCACCACCACCAAGTGTTGGCGAGGATGCGGGGAAAAAGGAACCCTCTTACACTGCTGGTGGGAATGTAAACTAGTACAACCACTCTGGAAAAAAATTTGGAGGCTACTTAAAAAGCTAAACATTGATCTACCATTTGATCCAGCAATACCACTCTTGGGGATATACCCAGAAGAATGTGACACAGGTTACTCCAGAGGCACCTGCACACCCATGTTTATTGCGGCATTATTCACAATAGCCAAGTTATGGAAAGAGCCAAGATGCCCCACTACTGATGAATGGATCAAGAAAATGTGGTATTTATACACAATGGAATTTTATGCAGCCATGAAGAAGAACGAAATGGTAAATGGATGGAATTGGAGAACATCATTCTGAGTGAGGTTAGCCTGGCCCAAAAGACCAAAAATCGTATGTTCTCCCTCATATGCGGACATTAGATCAAGGGCAAACACAACAAGGGGATTGGACTTTGAGCACATGATAAAGTGAGAGCACACAAGGGAGATATGAGGATAGGTAAGACACATAAAAAATTAGCTATCATTTGTTGCCCTCAATACAGAGAAACTAAAGCAGATACCTTAAAAGCAACTGAGGCCAATAGGAGAAGGGGACCAGGAACTAGAGAAAAGGTTAGATCAAAAAGAATTAACCTAGAAGGTAACACCCATGCACAGGAAATTAATGTGAGTCAACTCCCTGTATAGCTATCCTTATCTCAACCAGCAAAAACCCTTGCTCCTTCCTATTATTGCTTATACTCTCTCTTCAACAAAATTAGAGATAAGGGCAAAATAGTTTCTGCCGGGTATCGAGGGGGTGGGGGGAGAGGGAGGGGGCGTAATGGGTGGTAAGTGAGGGGGTGGGGGCAGGGGGGAGAAATGACCCAAGCATTGTATGCGCGTATGAATAAAAAAAACCCCACAAAGTTCTGTAGTGTCAAAAGATTCAGGTGTGAGAACAGGGTAATGCGCTGTGACTTTTCAATGGTTCAGATTAGACCCCTCCTGGCCAGACCTGGCTACTTTTTTGGTTGTGCACAAGAAAACTTTAGTAGACTTCCAAGTACTTGGCACTGAGGGAGGTCTATATACAGCCTTGGTTAGCTCTTACCCAAACCCTGCAGATGAGACCTTTCAGACACCACTTTGGCCTTGCTGCCCATTATTTTCCACACTTCTTTTGTCTGTGGCCTTTACATGCTGCCTTCTCCGTCCCTCTCCAGAATCCCATTTTCCCCAGCCTTAGGCGTTCAAGCACTGTGGAACTCCCTCCACTTCAATGCACTTCTCAGTGCTGTAGTGGAGGGCATGGCTCTGGGATTTTTGGAGTCACAAAGTTGGAGGGTGGATATCATAAATCCATCCCAATATGCCTCCCTCACAAGTCTTTAGATTTCTTCCTCTATAGATCCATAAAGTTCTGCTATTTGCTTCACATAGTGTGGGTGACTTTTGAGTCCAGATTTCAGTTGCCAACTGGGCAAACTGGTAGAACACCTCCTATCTGCCCATCCTAACAACTAATCCAGGACCTCTGCCAAGTGCACCTGTATCAATGAATCAGTTTGATTTTGTTGGTCTGGGGACCTAAAGGACAGATGAGTGGGTCAGTATCCCATCCCCCATGGAAAGCACTATGGGCCCTGCACCCTGAGGAACTCATAAATCTGCATTCCTGCATCCTGAGGAGGAGATACATTGTCTCATAAATCTGCCACAGGGCTGATAAACAGAATGCTCTCAAGGTTGTTCCCCCCATAAGGGGCAAACAGACCAGTTCATCAGAGAGCCTGCGCACACAAATCCATGGCCAATGAAAAAAACCCACCTAACCCTTACAACTAACCAGAGTTAAAGCATCCATAAAAAGTCCCAACCTTCACCTGAGCAGGGAGCCATCAGTTTCTGGGCTCTGCTGCACTGCTCGAGCTGTAGCCTTTTCTTTCTCTCTAATAAATCCTACTTTGTGTACCGGCCTTGTCTGACGAATCAATCAGCTGCCTCATGAGCCAGTTCTCTGGCCTGTGAGGGCAAGAACCCTTGACACTGGCCCACAATATTTCACATGGGCATGTAACAACTTAAAGTCCTATCCATCTTTCTTGGAGGTGACATAATGTATCCTCACATTGGTAGTGTTACAGAGTGTGAGGCAGGCTAGAACTAGGAAAAGTTTGGGGCTCAGGTATGTTGCCTGGGAATGGGTCAGACTACCCTCACCTGGCTGGGAACTGCCTTTGCCCCTCCCCACTCATTCATTATTGGGTGGGAACCTCCTGGGCCTGCCCTCCCACAGGGTAGTGTAGATTTTAAAGGCACCTGAAAAAGAAAAGCCCTCTTTCTCTCTCTGCTGTGGACTCTACCTGCACCCACTTTGCCTTCTTCTTTTTCCCTTTCCTCACCTGGCAGAAGGGGTGACTCCCCTTTTCTCAATAAAGCTATCTGAGCTCACCCCACCCATGTGCTCTGATTGGATTTTTCCATTTGGAGCACAAAACCCATGATCTTCTGATCACTGACTGCACCAGCGCCATTAACATTTGGATTTTGTTTTGTCAACTAACAACGTTTGGAGTTCTCCTGATGTGCAAGCTCTTTCCTTCTCATCCCCCAAACCTGACAGGCTCTTACTTTAGCTAAGGTCCTAGAAGAGATGAGGCATGAAATAGATGAAGGAAACTGGTTTCTCCTTGTAAGGGAATCAGGCTCACTGCCAGGACCTTCCAAGAAAGCCTCATCAGTCAAGGAGGCAGAGCTGCTTCTGCTGGCACAGGAGGCTGAGTGGGTTTGAGGTATTTGAGTCATCTGTGTCTCCGTTCCAGTTCTCATGGTCCCCACTTTCCTAATAAGGCACTCACTTTCCCCTAGGCGATCTAGCTAGGCTGTGAATTCAACTGAAGTAATTTGGTACTCACAGGATCAAACCTGAGTTTGCTTTTCTGCTACCTCAGTCCAACAGTTACCAAAAGTAAGAGGTTCTCTTGGCACTGGCAGAAGAAATTCCTGGCATGTTACTAGGCTTTACACCAATGTTTCTTAACTTGAGCACTGCTGACATTGTGGACAAGCTAATTCCTTGTTGTGAGGGGCTTGTCCTGTGTGTTGTAGATGTTTAATAGAATCCTTGGTCTTTATTCACTAGATTCCAGTTCTCTTTCTTCTTCCCAAGTTGTATCAGCAAACTGTCTGTGGATACAGCCAAATGTCCCCTAGAGGATGAAATTGTCCAATGGCTAAGACTACTGCATTAACTCAAGGAATAAAGATGACAAGAATCTCCCTCTTTTTCTTTGTCTACTGAAAGCAGACAGTTCACTCTCAGGTTCCTGACGCTTCCAATAGCAGCAGGTAAGCACAGAAATAATGAAATTTTTCACCAATACATGCCATAAACTTTCTTTAATACTAGATGTAACCTTTCCTTAACACAACTAGACTGGATAACTAATAACAGATTCACATTTCTGGGGCTTTCTGCTTGAAACAGAACATCTGTCTCCATATTAGAGTTCTATCTGATAACAAGCAAATCTAGATAGTTTTAGCAAAAATGGAATTTAAGATTAGTATTTGAGATTAATAGGTATCTCCTGGAACTCCTAGGAGGGCCAGAGAGCCAAGTTACAGGCTACCTGCCTGGGGCAGTGCTGAAACCTGAGGACAGAAATGTGGATGAGCCAATATAAAGAAGTAGTAAAAAAAATTAAATTAGAACATATATTTTCATTAACCTTCTATTTCTGTTTCTCAAGTAGTGGACACAAGCAACAAACTGGATTTCTGCAAACGAAGGCGAGGGACAATTTATTTCTGCTTTTTGAAAGAAGCAGCTTCATTTTCATCACATTGAAGGTCTCCAGTTAAAACTCGCGTTGGTACTGTTCTCGCGTTTCACGAGTCATATAAAATGTATTGTGAATAAAAATTATTTTCATTTCGATGGAGAAGAAATTATTGGCTAAAATCAAGTTTAATATATAAAACATTAAATATAAAAGTTCCTACATTTCTAAAAATCTGATAGTTAAAATATGACCGTTTTTTGTTGACTGAGACACACTCATGTGAACCCCTGGAAACTTTCTCTTGGCTGTTGGAGCTTCTGCTCAGAAACGTGCATGGCGTAGTTTTCACACACAGATCTTTTCACACTCTGACAGGTCTTTTCACAGAACTCTGACAGAACCTTTTCAAAATATTCACTAACTGCTTTTTGTCAAGAACATTACCCACTTCAGAGTATAAAGCAGAAACGCTTACTAAAGTCTGTCAATTAGATACCCTCTGTCTTCAAGGGATGTTTGCTTGGAACTATGAAGGGTGCTGTAAAGAACTCTGCAGACAATGGGATTTCAGTAAACATGTCTAAGGTCATGCACCTGGCTTGTGACAGTAAGTCAGCAGTCTGGAGCAGAACTTTGCCCCTTCTTATATTTGCATATGAAGGCATCTGTCTTTCCAAGGCTAACTTTGTAGCATTCCACTGGCAACAAAGAGCCAAAGGGTGACATTTTCTTGAAGCACTCCTGATTACTGGCTTCACCTGAAGATGACACTGTCTCCGATGTGCCAGTTTTTAATTCAGGGTTCAAGCAGTTCTTCATTCCAGGGTCCACAGTATGGCTGCCCTTGGGACTCAAAGGGATGCTGCTCTCTCCACAGTCTTTAAGGCGCCTGTGGTGATCTTCGCTAAGCAACAAAACAATGGTTCCACCAACATGCAGCACTCTGACAAAAAAATAATAATTGGGATGAGTATTTCTTTCGTCTTAGACAACAAGCAATCCCACTTTATTTAAAATACTTGTTTTAATTTGAAATTTAATTTCATCTATTTAAATACAAGGGTTTTTGATAATTAGGTAGCATCCTCCATAATACATATTCATTATAGTAATTATGGAATCTCTAGTACGAATCTGCTTTAATTATCTATTTTTATTCTACTTAAAAGACAAGTTTCAAAGTAACTTGTAGTCATATTCCAACAAATGATTGTATAGAGGAAAAGATAAGTGACAGAACCCTACAGAATCAGCATATTTAAGTAGGCCAGAAGCTGATGGCAGAAGAAAGTCACCAGGGAAGAATTAGGACATGAACAAAGAGATGACAAATGGAAGATCAAACAAAGAAGGCAAACCTTGAAATGTCAGCTTCTTGGGAAGAATCCATTTACTCAGTTATTCAACCCAAGTCTGGTGGCACTTACATGGAAATGGTGATACAGTTCCCTGAGTTGCCAAAGATTTACAACAGGGGGGAAGAAATAAGTGAAGGCTACAATAAAGGCATAGATGGGAGGCTGGGACACATGTCAGGAGGGCCCCAAACATAGGCACAGGACGGGAAAATTCCCTGAGGGTGAACATCTGTACTGCAGGAGTGAGCCATGCAATGATAGACAGGGGCTGGAGCCCAGGAGGGTGACTGGAGGCAGCATGGACAGAAAGGCAGGAAGAATGAAATGCAGGAGGCACTGAGCACAGTTCAGCCTAGTGGGGGAATCTGTGGAAGGTAGAAGAAGAGTGGGAAGGAGAGCAGAGTTCAGCTTGGAATGTGCTGATCTGAAATGTGGATTCCAACAGACAGCCAGGTACACAGCCTGAGGGTACAGAGAAAAACCAGGACTTGAGTTGTAGAAAGATAAATTTTAAAATGGTAAGTGGCAGATAAAGCCATAACGGTGACAAGTGACACCATAATGGTGGGGGGTGGCAGAGTGAGAAGACACTAAGACCAATAAGGAGGGGTAGAGGAAGAGAAGCCTGGGAAACAGCTGTCCTCAGAGAAAATCTGGACAATAGTGACGTCATGGAAGCCAGAGGAGCATAGTCTCAAGAACGGAATGGTCCCAGCAGTGTCAACTGCTGCAGGAGAAACAAATGACCAGGATAACATGTCATCAGGGAAGTAGAGGACAGGAGACCTAGCTGAGGGCAGGAGCAGATGCTGGTCTACTGAAGCTGAATGGAGAATGGAGGTAAGGAAGTAGAGATATCATGTGCAGACTATTCATTCAAGAAATCTAGTTGAGTAGGTAAGGAAGCAGAGGGACAGACAAGAGGACCAAGAGTTAAAGGGAAAGATGTAAGGAGCTTATGCAGCCTTCTCTCATCTAATCCATCAGCAAATCCAGACGATTCTGTCTCCAAACCACATCACAGATTCAGCTACTTCATTTATATTTTTCCTGGACGATTGCAACACTCTCCTGATAGACAGGTCTTGTTTCCATTCCTGCACTCCTCGATCCTCCCTTCCCAGTTTCCACATAGAAGATAGATGTCAACTCTTTAGCTGCTTTATTGTACCTTCAGGTAAGGTCTGAACTCCTTCACAAGGCTCCTTCACAATCTGACCTCACCTGCTTTTGTAATTTCATGGCCTGCCTGCTTCCTCTGCACAGGGGGCTTCCAAGTGCTCAAACTCACCAAGCTTCTTCTTGCCTTGGGACATTTGGTCCTGAGGCTAGCTCTACATTTAACACTCATTTCCTGTGTACTTTCTCATCACTCAGGTCCAGAGTTCAAATATCACCTCCTTGGACAGGCATTTCCTGACTACCCGTCTAATGTAGTTACTGCTTTTCTCTATCTCCAGTAAAACATCCTGTGTTATTTCCAGTCATGATCTGAAATGATCTTGTGTGTCACCGTATTAACAATCTGTCTTCCCACACTGGGTGTTTGGGGCCTTGCCTGTCTTAATGACTGCTGTACCCTCAGGTCCTACTGCAGTGGCAGTGCATGGGATATGCACACACCTTCAAAGGTACCTGGGAGGATAGTTGAATCTCTTGGAAAGAATGAAGAGATGAACGGACTGAAGATAAGAATGAGAGGACAGAGCGTGGTCCTTAAGGAGGAAGGAACTAAGGAAACATCCTGGCTAGAAGAGAGACCACTTCCCACTGAGGATGTGGGGTGAGGACTGACGCAGACTATGGGACACAAACAATAACACACACAAATATCTCCGAACACGATAAAAGAAAAGACAATTAAAACAATAAATGAGATAAAACTTTCTTATCTACTTTACTAACAAAGACAAACAACCTGATACTTAGGATGCAAAGCATATGAGTATTCTCATTGTCTCAGCACATTAGCAAAAACGTAACAAAAATACAAAGTACATACAACCTTCAACCCAGCAATCTTACTTCTAGGAAATTCTCCTAAGAAGATTTAATAGCTATAGTAGAGTAACAGTGATTAAGAATGGTGACAATAGCTAATATTTATTGAACAATTATTAAATGCTTTGAACTATGTATCATTCAGTCCTCTGAACTGTCCTTTCAAGTATACCCATTCAGTATTGTCATATTGCAGAAGAAACTGAGGTACTGTGGTTTTAAGCAATTTAGTCATACAGTAAGTCTGAAAAACTTTTTTTTTTTTTAATTTTGTTTTTTGCAGTGCTAAGGATTGAACTCAGGACCTACTGCTTGAGAGGCAAGTGCTCTACCACTTAAGCCCCACCCACCAATCATTTTGCTTTTTTTCACTTTGTTTTTCAGATATGGTCTCTTACTAACTTTGCCCAGGCTGGCTTTGAACTTAATGGTGATTCTCCTGTCTCTGCCTTCCAAGTAGATGGGATTATAAGCAAGCACCACCACACCTGGCCCAGGGCATTGCTCTTTAGTAAAAAAAAAAAAAAACTGAGAATTACATGTGCATTTATACATAAGTACTGGTTACATAATAGTACATACATATAGTATTATATTATAGCAGTCACTAAAAATTATAGTATACAATACAAGTAATTAAAAAGGAAACATACTATTGAGTGGGGGAGAATCACAATACAGTAAATTAAAGATTATTCTAGCTATGCACAATTAAAAACATGTATCTATTATTGCACGTGTATAAGGCAAGATGCCTAGCAGGACATTTACTGTAATTTTTTCAAATAACAGAGAAAATAAAAAAGTAAAATTTACCTGAATTTATGTTAGACAGAGATTGACATTTTTATGAAATTTCCTTTTATGTCTTTCCATGTACCTATACACAGGATTTTTTTTTTTTTTACTAAGAAAGTTATTCAGAAATTACAAAGCAACATTTTCTCTGAGCTAGTGTTCCTCTGAGCACTAGTATATGGGTATTTAATGATAATGATGATGGTATTATTTCTTGAAAATAATTGTATAGTCAATAGATTGGAGAAACTGTATCAAACCACATAAAAGAGGCTTTTCTTTTACATGTGATTCTGCAAAACTGGGGTCTTGCACAAATAATTCTAAATTAGGTGGCCATGGAACACACTAGGTCTTTACCCTCTTAACCACCTACTACAAATCCTCTTACCAGGCAGTCTGGTGTGCTTGCTGTACCTTGAATGTGACTGCTGCTTCACTCTTCACTCAAGAAATACTTACAGAACATCTGCATGTATAAAACATGATGTGGTCTCCTTTTTAAATTCTTTCTAAAATTCTAACTTTCACTGGAAACTTGCTTCTTTATGGAAGACATTTCAGGTCTCTTGGGCACACAGTGCCTCTTCTCTTTCCTTCAAGTTGAGCAAGCTGAATTTTTATTTTTGCTCATGTATTTTACATGGTTATATTAGAGAGGAAAGCCCAAATACTACTCCAAATTCCTCACAATGCTCTGTACTGATGAAATGGTTAATCTTTAAGTAGATTAAAAGAGGAAATAATTGAGCTGAGAGTATATAGCTTATGCCACCAGAGTGATCATTTTCCTTATGACCTTTAATTCTGAGTGCTTGCTCTTCTTGAAGAATCTAGTTCTGTGTTACATACAAGGTTATCTATTTCCACTGCCTCTTATGAACAGGTTTATTGACCTCTTGTAGTTTTCCCAATATGATTCCCCATCTGTCTCAATTTCTATCTGGAGCCTCAAATGATCAGCAGACCACTGGGAGAAAAGTTATGTGTAAGCAGATATTAATCTATATCCCCACCTACTTCCCAAAAGGACTTGAAGTGGTTTACACTGAGCAATCAGGTCAGAGCTAATAGACACTCAGTACTTCCTAAGTGCCCAGAACTGTTCAAAGAGCTTTAAATTCACTGAATCTTCAGAACAATGCTATGAGGTAACTATTAAGGTTTAAAGATTAGGTTCAAAGCAGATACGCGGCCTGCATATGTCTGAAGAACTAGGAAGTGAATAGAGCTAAGACTGCAGCCAATGTAGCCTGACTCCAAAGCTTGTTTTAACTACTATATTGTGTTGTATAAAACCTAAAACCACAAAAGTCAAAAGTTACATCAGAAATGCTGGGGGCAGGTGGCAAGGAAGCTTGGTCACAGAAGGAAAAATCCCTTATATTTAAATATATATACTTTGAACCAGTCCTACTGAGGCCCTCTAACTACACAAGAAATCTTGAGCATTCATCTTCCCAATTCCCAGTTACATATTTAAATTTTCTGCCATGGTGAGAGAGCAGTTAAATCTACCAATGTCCCACTTTAAATTACTGAGTAAAAGCCAAGGCCAGCTTAGAGAAAGTCAGGCTGGTACAACTTACTATTGCTGAAAGGGCTGTACTCAAAATCCTCCCACCTTTCCCCCACATTGACTTGTGGAGATATCTAAAATAGGCAACACTAAATTTGCAGTTAAGTCATTACTTCCCTGGAAATTTCCAGGTTAAATGCACATCACCGCTCATACATTTTAGTATCTCACCAGAAACTGGTTAATGGTATCGATGGTGAATTGCCTACTTAGCTTTGAAGACTAGTTATTAACCTTGACTGTGTAAGAGAATCACTCTGGGTACTTTTAAGCATGATGACTCTTAGGTCCTATCCAGGGTCATTAAATTAGAGCCTTGGTGGGAGAGGTGGGGAATAGGCATCAGTGTTTTAAAAAATGCTCCTGCAATGGTTTTAACATGAAATCAGAATTGCAAAATCTGCTGGAGAGGAATGTGATATTGGACTGAAGAGAGTATAGGTGTTCAGGAAATATTTGAATTACAGGTGCTGCTCAGAAAGAGAAGTCCCATACAAAAATAACAAAATGTAACTGGGCAACAAGGTAAGTGGTTTGGAAAAAAAGCTAATTCATAAAATAGTGTGGAGCACCCAACTTACAAGATGCCCTGAGATGGCTCTCACATGGGTTTAGACATGGAGCCTTGCTTTAATTTTCCTTTAAAATGTTAGTCTTGACACTCAATTTTTTCCATTCCAAATACATGCTCATTTTTAAAAGCCAGTGACACATTATTTCCACAGTAGGCTCATAACATTTATGTTGTCCTATTCTATCCAATGCTCAACTAAGACAATTTAACACGACTTGATCTCTAGTGGTATCCATTCATTCCTGTATGTTTTCTAGGGTCACTCCTTTATCATCTTAAATGACTGGAAAATCATCTATCTAGACCTCAATATATGAGCCTCTCAAAGAAATACCTCCATGAAATTACATTCCTGTAGGCCAACATTAGAAATCACGAGATGAACAGTATTCTGCATTTTATTTCATAGCCGATGGCGGTCTTGTCCATTATGTTACTGAGTGTTCCTTACTGTAACAGAATTCTATTCTGATGGCTGTGTGATCATAAGGAAGTTGATCTTCCTGGGTTCAGTTTCTCTCCCACTAAGTGTGGGATTGACACACAGGTTTTTGTGAGAATTAGAATTATATATGTACCTACCCCAGTGACTGATAAAGAAATTAGTTTTTTTCTGAATAAGGTGATATGGAATCACATCTATTTTAATTGCAAACTTCTGACTTGAAATCTTAGAAAATTAAGTTGTGAAAATCTGGGAAATTACTACAATGCACTCAGATCTTAAGAACTATGATATATTTTGGTTAAATGCCCAATAGCTAAAAAGTTAAGGAAATAAAGTTGATGACTTACCTTTCCATTGCTTGTAGAATGCTTTTGATGTCTTTTCCTAACCTAAACTTCTTCCCAAATGGAATGTCAGAAATAATAGTATCAACACATTCTGAAGGCAGTGGTAAATCTGAAATACAGAAATCATGGAATCCTATTACCATTTAAGGTCAAATATTCACAACTTCAATATTGAGAGAATTGTTTTTGCATGTAAAATAAAATTTAGGCTTGGTAATATTTTTTTCTGTGGAATTCTGAAATGCTTTCAGAATCACTAAAGATAAATGGTATAGTTATTATATTCTCTTCTTTGAAAAATGACTTTTCAGGTGTGATAAAGTATGACATAAGTTAGAATTTAAAATTAACCAGAAAACTTAATTCTCTAAACATATTACATATATATAGTTGCCAAATCCATGAAGAAACACATTAAGTTGTCTAGAAAAACTTTTTACAAATTATATTCTATGATTTTCATTTCCATTTTGATTATATATATATATAAATATAAATATATTATGTATATATTTGTATGTTAGATTAATTGTTTTTAAGGGAGAGGGTTCACAGCTATCATTGTATTTTTAAAGGCAATTCAAAAGGTTAAGATTGTAAGAGTGGCTCAAGTGGTTCAGTGCCTTCTTAGCAAATGTGAGGCCCTAAGTTCAAACCCTAGTATTGCCAAAAAAACAAAAAAGGTTATGATTATCTTTGTGAGTCCTAAGACTAGAAAAAAGGCAACACAATCAAAAATCAACACAATAAATATTATCACTAAATACAATTAAATAGTTGATTATTAAATGTAAATTTTCTTTTCATTGTAACATTTTCTTCTCATAAGTTACACTATATAAGTTAAAACACCCAATCTCTCTTTTTTTGTTGTTGTTGGTTATTTTTTAAAAATTATCATATTATTGTGATGCTGGGGGTACATTATGACATTTACAAAAGTGCTTACAATAGATCTTAGTTAAATTCACCCCCTCCATCATTCTCCTTTATCCTCCCTCACCACATTCTTAGAGTAGTTTCAACAGGTTCATTTTTCCATTTTATGCACGAGTACAAAATATTTCCACCATATTCACCTCCTCCACCATTTCCTATATCCTTCCCTCTCCTACTGGTACCAACCCTCAGACAGGACCTGTCTTGCCTTAAGCACCAATCTTAACACATTTTCTAAGTATACTTTTCACTTTCTACTTATTTTCCACCCATCAACTAAATTAAGTTAGCTATTGATACGAAAGATGCCTCACTTTTCATTTTGATTAGATTCTTATTCTGTAGCAATGCAGTGACATTTAATCTTTATTAAGTAGTATATAAATTTTTGTTGGTGGGAAATTAAAAAATATTAAAAAATCTCATCTGGGAACATTTAATGAGCACCTGCTATCTTTCTCTTAGTTCTAAACCTTATGTGTATTAGCAGAACAGAAAATTGTTAGAAAAAAGTAACAGGGTACTATTTTTCTAGACCTAGGCAGGACCAGGTATGCTGGTGTACACCCATAATTCTTGCACTCTGGAGGCTAAGGCAGGAGGATGGCAAGTTCAAGGCTAGTCTGGGCTACATAGTAAGGCCCTACCTCAAAACAAATAAACAAATTTAACAAAACACCAAAAACAAACCAAGGCAGGAATTCTCCCCCCCTCCATACCGTCCCCTCCCCACCTCCAGCACTGGTGCATGGCAGACAAGTGCTGTACCACTGAGCTGCATCCCTAGCCTGCCCAAGTTGTTTCAACTTCATGCACTGAGTTTTAGAGCGCTGACAGAAGACACATTCATTTGATCACTGCCTCTGTACTTTTTATAAAGTGATTAAGACAATAAATAAACAAGGAGGGAAATCAAATTACCACACAGAAATTTGCTCAACTTTGTTTAGTCCCAAGTCTTTTCTTTTGCCTTAAAGTCCTTTCCCTCACCCAGTACCTACCTATGAATTAGCTGCCCAACATATTTGGGTTTGGTAACATTTGTTTTCTTCTGTTTGTTCTTATTTTTTTCTGCAACTTTCCTATTCTGTATATAATTTCTATTGAATATCTATACCTATTCTATATCCTATTCTATATCTATATTACATTATTTTGCTAAAACGATTTATAAATAATTTTAGAACCTGAAGGAATAAAATTCACATAGGAAGAAGAGACTACTGAAAAAAAAGTATTCCAGAACTAAACAGTGTGGCTTTCTAACAAGCATAAAGCAATCTAAGCTTTTGTTGATGGGTGTGGCATGCAGGCTCTGGTATCTAATAGCCTGTGCTTGGCTCCGTTACTCTAGCTTCAGGACTCTGGGAGACTACTGCTTCAGTTTCTTCAGCTGTGGAGCAGAATGGGAGTACCTACCTCAGAAGTTAGTAAATGAGGTGTTATATGGAAAACAGTGCCTGGCACAAAGTAAGCACTCAATGACTGTTAGCTACATGTGGTTATTGCTTACAAGATCCTCTCTGCTATCTACAGGAGATGATAGTCAGGTGGAAACCAAGTGGGCCAGAATCCTTCAAAGAGCTCTGTGGAACCCACAATCTCCGCCCCCATTCCTGCAAAGTCCTTAAAGGCATAGGGAAGGCAACTACTCCCAGGTGGGACCCAACTCTCCTGTCTTCCAGCAGAGGTTCTCAATGTGTTGTCACAGACCAGCAGCATCAACATCACCTGGGAATGATTACTTAGCGTGACTCAGGATCAGATAAAGGGCTATGAAAAACACTGACTGTTGGCCCCACCTAGAGAGATTTTGAGGAAAAAACTCCTAAAACAGTGATCCATAAGATTCAACACATAGTAAAACAGTTTAAATTATTAAATGCTTTCATTGCCTATAAACAGTCTACTTGTAACTATGGAGATAAGATTCTAAAATAGGAATGGCTCAATACAAACAACTAAAAATCATTTCTTTTTTTACATCTCTGCTGGATGATTCAAGGACACGAAAAAAAGTTAGTTTTAAAATACTGGTTGTCTCAACAAAAGAACTGCCCTATTTTTCCTTTCTTCCAGGAGGAAAATAGGTAAAAAATTGCTCGAAACTCAAGACTGTGGTCCCAAGATATTTTCTTCCGATAGAAGTTTAAGGAACTTCAACAAGGACCTTTGAGTGTGGCTCAGGTGGTAGAGCACCTGAGTTCAAAGTCCAGTCGGCTTTGACTTTCTTTGTTCTCCAGTTCTTAACATCTCTAAATGTCTGGGCTTCATTAATTATTTTCCCCCAAAAGAGCTTATTAGTAGAGACATTTGAAAATGTCTCTACTGAAATGTTTTCCCTGGGCATAGTATTTTTGTGCCCCACGCTCTGTCAGTGACAGTGTAAATGGAATCTCAGAACCTCATAAATAGACATATTCTACTGGCAATTGCTCTGTAACTGTTTCTTTCCATTGTGGCCAAAATAAAATTTGGAGGTTATTACATTAGATTATTATCTTCTCTGGCTTAGTTGCTACTGATTGATTTTTTTATGTTTATCATTCTTTTTCTTGTTTCAATTCACAGGAGACTTCAAATCCTTCATTGAAATTTTAATCTGCCATCTCAGAAGTCTATACATAGTCCTAAATATGCAAAATGTACTTTGGCATCTGGGTTGGATCACCATGTAATTTATAGACAAGCTAGGAACATTACTGAGAATGAGAATGCTAGAAATAAAATTACATACTTATGAAATACTTATCCTAAAAATTGGATTATGGCACACTAACAAGTAACATTTACGTACACTAAAATGTTTTTTTTTTTTTTTGCAAAATCACTTAAACTATTATTTTAACATTAAAATAACAAAATGATTGTGGCATATTCAGACACTGACTAGCTTCTAAGATGTACTAGTCTTTAATCCCATGTCATCACTGGTATTTTTCTGAAAAATAAAGTAAACCCTTAAGTTTAGTGCTGTACTGTAGATGCTTGATTCATTTTTCCCAGATGCTGCTACTTTCGGCTAAAGACAGATTTAAAATTTCGACTTTATCCCTTAAATTAAGCACATTCACTCATACCTTGCTTTTTGGGCCCCATGTGCTTTTTGGGAGGTAGATTTTCACAAAATTAAGGGCAGGGAAACACTCAGCAAAGATTTAGACACAACTGATGATAACACAGGACTGACCAAGAGCTTCTCTGCATCAACTGAGTTACGTAATGCATGTGTAGGAATTTAAATGTTTTTACTTTTAAATTTATTTTGATTTTTAAAAGTTTTGTTTTTTGACTGTGTTTGGTGAAAACAGTATAAAAGACCTCTGAATGAGGCAGGCTTATTCTACAGTACTTTAAAAAATATGGACTTTTAGAAAAAGTTTTTCACAAACCTGCCTATGATCTTCAAAGTTTCATTTTCATGTTTGTAAAACCTGTCTTAGACTACAATATCGTGGGGAAACTACTTTGTCTAAAGTGCTAAAGTGAATGTAAGCACTTAGAGCAAATTCTGCGAAGTGGAGGACACCCTCAATTCTCTTTCTTCCATGTGGAAAGTATAAATATTTCAGCCCTTTAAGTCGCAGTCCTTCTGTGCAGAGTACCTTTGACACACAATTCACAACACAAAACTCAAATAAATTGTCTCTATTGTTCTTTTGTTTTACCAGATTTAGATACTGTAAAATCAAGGCCTCAATTTCATTTCATTATATTGTAGAACAAACATATCCAAGTAAAATGAAGAAAGTCATTGGAAGATTCTTCCTATAAGATATCCAAAGTGTATTTACAGAATTTCAGAATAAACCATGTGCATTACTGAGCTCACACTAATTTGTCTTTAGGGACAGATTTCAATGTTTTCCTGTTGCCAACTTTTTTTTTAATAACTGCAAATAATCAAAAAAACTCAAAAACTAAAGTTTTATTACATTCCACTTGTTGAATCCTTTGATTACATATTTCCAACAGATTTTGAACACAATACAACCCGAATTAGGCAACTTGCTTATTCTTTTAAAAGTGTAGCTCGGTGTGGTGCTTCCTACTTGTAATCCCAGCCTTCGTGGGGCAGAGACACTAGGAGCACGAGTTCCAGGTCAGCCTGGGCTACATATGAAGTTTGAAGACAGCCTGGGATCTAACTGAGACCTGTTTCAAAAAAACAATAAAATCAAAAAAGAACAACAGCACCATTGTAGGGCTGTTTTACAAAGTAGCTTCTCAGAAGCTTCAACTTTTGAACCAAGTGATGATGGGCAGAGAGAGAGAAAGCAAGAAAGTGTACTGCCATGCTCAAGCAGTTTTCCATTTGGGCATCTCTACAGTAGCTTGCATTTCAGTTACTCTGTGTATATTTTACTTTCTTCTTTTTTTTTGCGGTGCTGGGGATTGAACCCAGGTTTGCTAGCTAGGTAAGTACTCTACCACTGAGCTCCATTCTGTATATACATACTTAAAAAGTAACCAATATTTGACAATTTAAGTTCCTATCTGAATTGCCTGAATGTTGCAACCTGCTTGGACTACTTATGACTTACATGGTTACATGGTTACTATGTTAAATTCCAGGCATGTTTCTGGTCCATAGGTTTTAATAGGATAACAATTTTTAACATGCTATGGTCCACCAAATTAATACATAAGCAGAGACACATGCAATACTGAAGTAAATTTACAGTAGCATTCTCAAAGATGTTTTATCTTCCATAGGAAAAAAATCTAAATTTGCCAGAGTTGGGAGGGGCTGGAATTGACTTAATTGATTTCCTTTCTGAAGCCTCTGAAGATACCGACAAAACTGGCACTATTTAGCTGTCTGCAAAGGTCTTCTAATAAAGCCCACATAGCAATAACCAAAGTTTCATTTTGCTTATGTGTGCAAGAAGACTTGGAATTGAATATGAGCAGAATTAATTTAGAAGAATAGCCGCTTAATTTAAATGAAAGGTCATGCTTCACAGAGTGCCATTTAAATGCATTTTCTTCAGCTGCATGTGATAGTTAGGTTTGGGTCAAGTATTCTTTCCTTAAAATAGCAGCTAAGTTTTGAAGTAAATACTAGATGTTTTTATAAGTAGATTTATTTTTATTTGGTTTGGTAATATTACCTTGGTTCTCACGGTGCATGGTGAATGTAAAACAGACATTTTGCTCAAGTTATGGGTTCATTATTAGCATTCTTGAGAAATGAAAATTCAGTCCTTACTTTTTCAGCACTATTAGAAACTTATTTGCTGTGGAAAGAGTTTACGATAGAAGTGTTACCAAACAATAAAATGATAGCGTACATCCAATAAATGATGCCATAGATAAAGTCTCTGTAGCAGAAGAATGCAAATGTGCTTCTCTTGCTCAAATCTGTATATTACAGCTTGCATCTTATACTAAGAATGTAATTGTATCTGTAGATTTAAAAAAGCCTACCAGTGATAAATTGTTATTTACCAAGATAACTTATAACATAATACTCATTTTATCCCATATTTTCATGATGATTAAAACTCAGGAATAAATGCATATAATTTCTGCATGTTAAATGGTTATGTGTTTTTTGTACTAGTAGAGGGTTATAAAACAAATACCAAAAGTAGAAAAATACAAGGAGAATGATTTTATAGAACATAAATCATGATGAGAATATTGCTAACTTTCTAGTCATATCAATGCTTGTAGAGGTCTTTAATTCATGCTGTGTGTTAAGACACTGTACTCTATGTTGTGAAACAGATCCTCACCAAAGCCTCATGAAGCAGGATAGCAAACCTAGAATTTATAGTTGATCTGCTGGACTCTAAAATACATACTCTCTAATTACTACAGTTAAAAAGGCACAGGAGCCTCAAATCTGCCAGTGTTGAAAAGGGACTCATGATTATCCGTTTTCTAAATTGTATTTATGATTAGAGCTCTTGAATTGAAAACCAAATTAATGAAGAGAATAAATACTGTAGCTAGGATGTCCCCCTCTGAAGTGGAGCTATGCAACAAAGGACTAATATTAAAGATTTAATATTGGCTCGGTAAGTGTGATATAAGTAACTACCCTAGACTGAAATTTAACATCAAAAGGCTGTGATGATGAGACAGCTTAAGATACAGGTTTTAGTCTTTCCCCCAGAAAGTTATCCTCAAAATGAACTGAAGAAAAATCTACAAATGACACAATATGAAAAACATTTTATCTCAGTAGCAAAGAAAGGTAAATTTGTCAAGTTTTAAAAATTGTAATAAAAATGACATCATGATCAACAGAGGCTTAGGAGACATGCGTACTAACCACTGCTACCAGTCTGGTGTGACCTGTCACAGTTCTGTTCTCCTCCCCTCTACCATTCCGTTTCTAAGAAGTGCAGCTCCTCACCTCAGGAGGGCCCCCCCCCATCCATTCTTAGGGCCTCAAGAACTGGAAATGAGCATTTTCCTCTCCCCTGCGTCACAGTGCTCCTTTTTATTTGGTCATTCTCTTTAGCATATAAACGTGTACTAAAAAACTCTTTGACTTCTAGCTTCAAAAAAGATCTCTGTTTGAGTACCAATATCCTTTCTTTTGGTTACTATTTCCTTTTGGTTCTGTAGCCCTTACCAGTAAAGTGCTCAGAAGAATGATCTAAACTAGCTACTTTGGGGCTGGGGATGTAGCTCAGTGGTAGAGTACTTGCTTAGCATACACAAGGCCCTGGGTTCAATTCTTAGCAATGCAAAAAAAAAGTAAATTAAAAAAACAACTAGTTGTCTAAATTATTTTCCTCCATTCATTCAACATAGTGCAGTCAGGTGTTTGCTGTGCTGCTCCATGGAAACACCCTTGACTTCTGCCATCACCAGGCCTCAGTTTACCTCACCAATTGGCAGCAGGTTGCATAGCTGGTCACTCTCTTTTCCCTGGATTCTCTCCCCAGACTCGAGACTTGTATGTTGATATCTTCTTCACTTGGTGTCTATTAATCTTGTAAAATTGAAAAGATTCAAAAGTCTAACTTTTTCTCCCTTCCATTTTCCCTGTCTCAATAAATGACAATCTCATCTTCTAGTTGCTTATGCCAGAAAGCTGAGTCTTTTTTTTTCTCACATTCCACACCCAATTCAACAACAAATCCTGTTGGCTCTACCTAGAAAGATATATGCCTGATCTCTTCTCAACACCACCATGAATTCCACTGTGTCCCAAGCCACACCTGGATTGCTGCCTATAATCTCCTGACTACTCAATTTCCATCCTTCCTGCACTGTGGTCTACTCTTCCAAGGAGGTAGAGATTCTCTCAAAAATTAACCTGGTGCCATTGAAGATTCCTTTTGTTTTAAATACAGTGGAATGTTTTCATTTGTTTTTAAAGTGAAACTTTATTATGGAAAGTGTCTCCAAAATGGAAACAGATGAAAGGGAAGCCGGCAGTGTGGAAACTCAGCATTCCCTCCCTAACAGAAGCTGTGGGGGTGGCAAAAGGTTCCAAAACACCTGCTCTGGAACAACTTATAAAGCAATTCAAGTTTTCTTAGAGGCCTTACAGAAAGCACTCTTAAAGAAATCAGTGCTCATGAAAGCTTGACTTCAGTCTAATCATCCCTCAGTTTTCTCTAGAAATACGTCTTTTGCAAAAGTTTTTTTAAAAGCCTTGGCAAAAAGACTAAGAAGGTAGTCATTGGCTGCAAGCAACTATGAGGTCTCCATCAGCAATGGGTTGTTAGGGCTGCTTCACTGTGCTTTCACACAAGTTACTCTAGTAATGTCTCCTGTTGACACTCACCTTTGCTACTCTTCCCCTATAATAAAAACTTTCAAACAGAGTTTTGGTCTTCCTGATTACAGGCTTGATTCCTGTTCACCACCAAGAAAGATAATACAATTTTCTTAGCTGGGAATTAAATGTGCTAATATTTTTTGAAGAGAGAAGTGTATTAAGGAAACAGCAAAGAATCAAGGATTGTGAGTCTAAGTACCATGGATGTTAGGGAGTTACGATTTTGATTAGACTCTGCAGACTTGGTTTCCTAGTCATGTTTGTCACTGCTGCTTCTCCATAAGCAAACAGGAGGGCAATGGTTTCCTTTACCTCACAGGGTGACCACCTGTCTCTGTTTGCCCCAGACCTTCAATGTGAGGCAAGAAGGTTAGATGATTCAGAATATTTCAAATAGTTTATCTGAATGAAATCTGAATAAGTTTTAACATTATTATACTGTTCTCTTTATTTTATGCCTGTATTATGTGATCCATGGTTATGAAATAAGAAATAATTCAGATGCAACACACATATCTTAACAAGGTATGCTTTTACTTAAATGCTTATGGAAACTATATAAATGCTGCTTCCCAATCATGAATCTTTTGAAAAATAAAAAGTTAAAATATTGGAAGTAAACTGAGTATTAGCCCCAAGGATATATTACAATCAACCTTCACATACAGAAAGTTCTTTGTGCTTTTATTTTAGTACCTTACCTATGATGGAGACTTTAAGCAACTCAATTTTATCCCTAAGGCCTGCAGCTTCCAGATTGTCACAGGCACCAAGCAGCTGTAGGTCATTGACATCGGCGCCCAGATAATAGGCATCCTGTGGGGACAAACCCATTCTCTTAAGTAAAACTGCTAGGTAGCTTAGTAGTTAAGAAAATCTACTTGCATTTTCCTAAGTGGTGAAAGTGAAATCGACAGGGTTTTTTTGAGTCAGGGTTTCACTATATGTCCCAGCATGGCCTCAAACTTGTGATCTTCCTGCCTTCCCCTCCTGGGTACTGGGATCACAGGTGTGAGCCACCATGCCTGGCTCTAACAGATTTTTAAATTCAACTTAAAACAAATTTGGAGCATTCTTTCAAAATATTCTTTTCAAAATATTTAATAGCAAAATTGAAAAGTTTTTGTTAAAATTTTTAAATCTATTAATATTTTATAGTTACAAATATCTTCAGAATTAGGAAATTAGTATAATCTAGGTCAAAATCCTGTCACATTTTCCTAAATTTTCATAGCATTTAAAGAAATAATATAGCTGGAAGAGTGGCTCAAGTGGTAGAGTGCCTGCCTAGCAAGTGTGGGCCTGAGTTCAAATCCCAGTACCTCCCCCAAAAAGAAACAACATAGTAATTTAATTAACCCTTCATAATCTACATTAACTACTCATGTAATTAAAAGTAATAATCCCCAAATAGAACATGTACTTATAAATAATTAGTGACTACATAGCTTCACTGCTTGGTTTACACCAAAGTTCACAACTTACTGGCCATTCTTTAGCAGCTTCCAGAAGTATTGTTCCAAGTCCACACATTGGATCTAAAACAAAGGCACCAGCCTATAGACAGAAATATGAATTTGGTATTATTAAGTCTGCCATAAAAGTCTCTACTAGAAAAGAAATCTAAACCTGAAGGAGTCCATATTTTAAGAGTAAAGATTCTTTCCAGCCTTACTAAGCTGCAATGTGCTTGCCATCTATAAAGATTAGGAGGGAGGCCACTGTGGCTCAAGCACAGTGAGCAAGAGGGAAAAGGTAGTGGTACACTGGAGAGGTAGGCAGGGGATGCCATCTTGGTGGGGGAGTACTGCATGTACCCCCAAATCTTAGGAGTCTAATATAACATGTAGCTCAGGGTAACAGTAGGGCATCTGAGGCTCATCACTCAGGTTGATGAAGTAGTCACCATCCAGAGTGTCACCATCACTCTGGATGGCAGAGGGAGGGAAAGTGAGAAATTGTGCACTGCTCTAAAAGGTGGCTCACATCACTTCCCCGGCATTTAACTGACTAAAGCACATTAGTGACACAGAGTTTCAAGGTTCCAGGAAAGTATGATACTACCAGTGCTTGTGAGGAGAAGAGTAATTTGGAGAAAAAACTCCCACTCGGGGGATCACATCATGTCAGATCTAGGTACCGGTTCTATTTTAAAGGATGGGCAACTACAGGAGGATCTGAGTACCTCACATTTCTCAGGGATTATGCTGGCTGCTATGTCCAGCACAGACCACAGAGGAGTAGAGTGTGAATAAGGAGGCTGAGGGAGTCTAGGCAGGAGAGGATGGGGGCTTGAATTAAGAGTGGTAATAGGGCAAGTGGTTGGATTCTGGATATATTTTTTAAAGTCCAGTACCCAAAAGAAAGATTGGGTGTGGAATATTAAAGACAACAGTCTGGAGTGACTAAGGTTTTTTTTGCCTGAGTAATGGGAAGAAGAGTTGTTTGTTATTGAGATGGGAAAAACAGTGCAGAGGAGGCAAGAGTATAACTTGCCTTGACATGTTAATTTTGAGACACCTCTTAGATCTCCAAGTGACTGTCGAACAAGTTTTTGGGTATATGAATCTAGAGTTTGAGGACTGAAGGTTCTGGCTCCAGATATAAATTTGGGAACAGTTGGTGTGTTTATAAGTAGTATTTAAAATATCAGAACTGGATGAGATCATCTAGGAAGCAAGGGAAGCTAAAACAGGAAGCCTATGGATTATTGGGCCCTGGAAGATGAAAGGCCAGTCATGGACTCTGAGCAGCAGCACAGGTGGATGGAGGAGGAGAGCCTAGAGTGGTGATTCTGAAACAAAGTGAAAAAACTGTGTCAAGGAGAATGATTGCAGTGTCAAAATGCTCGTAAGAAAGAAGAGCAGATTCAGTGGAACATCCGTAACAAAGGCCTGACGGAAGAGGGTGCCTAGGAGAACAGGAAGACAGGAAGCAGAGACAGCAAATACAGACAACTATTTTTAAGGCTTTGTGATAAAAGGAAGCAGAGTGTGTGGCAGCTGGAGGAACATGTGGGTTTAGGAAAGGGTTTTTATTTCTTCTTGTTTCAAGATATTCCAGCAGGTACACATGCTGATGCCAATGGCTCAGTAGAGAGAAAAGGTCCTAGGGCACAAGAGGAGGTAGAGTCCAGTACCCAAGTATGGGAGTGGAACAGAGAAGCCGCTATCATGACAGGAAGGCAGAATGTGTGCGCACGGATTCTGTATGTTGGTAGATATGAGAAATGCTAAAGTTCTCTTCTGAGTTCAATATTTAAGTCATATAAGAGGCAGAGATTAAAAGTGTGTGCACAGAAGTGACTACAATGATAGAACATAAAAGCCAAGGTGGAAGGAAGGATGAGGACGGGTGGATGGGTGCAGGTCAAATGACTGGCACTCCCTGGAGAAAAGTGCTAGGGAACTAGAAAAATCAAACAGGAAGGAGAAGGTGGGTAAGAGACAGCACCTCATAATGTTGCCTAGGCTGGTCTTTTAACTCCGAGGCTCAAGTGATCCCCCTGTTTCGGCCTCCTCAGTAGCTGAGACTATAGGTGTATATCACTGCACCTATCTGAAAATTGGATTCTGGAAACTGAGAAGTCTGGAAGTAATACCTTTCTGGGGATGATGTGGTGTAGGATGTGACTAGGGAAGATCATTAGAGGGAGGGAAACCAAAAACCTAAGAGGCAGGTTACTGACTGGCTATGGAGACTATAAAGAATTGTGATAGGAATAATGGCGGCTACCCTAACCAGAATGATACAGAGAGAGATCAGTACTTGACTGGTATTATCTGATGTCATGTGCTTCAAAGGGCACTGAGAGGTTCTGGGCAAAAGGGAGGAATCAATCATCTAGAAGGGGCAATGAGAAGCAAGCAGGAAACCTACCACACCTTCAGGCCCAGAGGAGTGTGGTAGAAAACACATCCATCACGTGGTATGTCACAGAGGAAGCAGTGTCCTCAGTGCATAGCCACATGAGTCAGAGCTAGAAGGCACCTAATGGAAAGAAGCAGTGTTCTTCAGGAGAGAGAAACGCCTCCCTGGCATGATGTTCTAAGGAGAATGCAACATGGAGTTCCTGTGAAAAGGTAGTAAGTAGCAAAAGGAATAATGATGTAAATGGCAATTTTGTTTAAGATTAATACATTTAGTAAATTAATTTGTTTAAAATTAATTTTTATTAAGATTTTAAAATGTGCCAAACACTGTGTTCTTCCTTCCCTAAGGTCCATGCTCCATGAGCATGTCTGACCTTAGACATCTTTAAATATTTTTGTTCTACCTCCTAGTCATGGCATCTGCAGATCCAGAATAGTTCTCTTAAGAGAACTTAAGATTTGTAGAACTTGATTTTCCTTACTTGTTATGGCGTGTAGGAAGGAGAAATGCTTCTGGGAAATGTATGCTGTCACCATTTTACAATTCAATGTTCAGTGCACCAGCCTACCCAAGGTTGAGCTGTGTATGGTACCAAGTTCCAAAGTGGCACTGGATCAAGCTGATACAGGGATACCTTCCATTGAGCGTCATCACTCCCTCCCTCCACAAGGACTCTGCAGTGCTACTCACATGCTTTCACAGACACTTCTGACTTTTGGTAAATGCAAGGCAAGCTGAAAGTATTGAAAAAGTTTATCAAGCATCACCATTGGGTATTTTTGATCATTTAACTTTGATTTTTCTGAAAAATATGTTTATATCAAAGCAAAGATGTCATTTCAAATTTGAGGGTGCTTATATAAATTTATTTTTAAATGTAAACTTGAAATTAGTTAGCAGTTTGGAAAAGAATAATTGATAATCATACATCTTTCCTTAGACCAGAAAAATGTGGGATAAAGATTTAAATCAAGTAAAGAAAAGCATGGGTTCTGGGTATGTGGTAATCTGAAAGTAACTCCCCCTCTCCTTCCAATTCAAAGCTATTTATTTCAGTTAGCCAAGTAATGCTCAGACTTGATGCAGCTGGCATGAAGAAGCCCTGGGCTCTGCTGGAGCCCCAGAAGGAACCAGTGTTGTGAGCCTTGCTGTGGGTTGAACCAGTGATTAGAGAACAGTGCTGGAGCCCAAGGGACACACAGAGGAACTAGGGTAGAGCTTGGTCTTCAGAGGTCTGTGTTCCTGAGGTAGAACCAGTAAATAGAGACCTTTTATGCAGGTGTCCTGGCAGGGCTGGCAAGTGTTCCTTACGCTGCTGAGTGAGCTCAAGGGTGGCTTTTACCATTTATAGATTTCTAGTCATTCAAAAAACTTTAATAACCATACTTTAGCCCTACTGAGACAACAAAGAAAAATAATGGCACATCTAAGGGGGAAATGGCTCCTCCCTAGTGAAATGGCTATTAACCACTAGAGGCAGCAAGTAAAGACTTGAATCAAGGCAGTAAGAGTTTTTACAGATACTCAGTTGTGACAACTTTCTGAAGCTAAAAAAAAAATCCCTGAACTGTGATTTTAAACTAAAAATATCAATAAATGAATTAAAGTAGAATACATCTGTTATTCTTATTAAAACTTGGAAGAAAATGTTAAAAAATAACTCAAAATGCAGAGACAAAATTTCGAGAAGGAAACCATGTGAGAAAGGAGAAAGTTGGAGGATATAGCCAGGAGCTTCAGTGTTCATAACAGGATTCCAGAAGTACAAAAACAAGAGTTTAAAGTTAAATCTGCTAAATAGCTCAGGCAATAATAATTAAATAAACCATGAAAGAAAGAGCTCCTGAGCTACAAAACACATGATGGAGAAAAGACAGCCTTTTCAACACATGGTGAGGGGAAAACTGGTATCTACATGTAGAAGGCTGACACTAGATTCCTGCCTTCACCCTGTACTAATGTCAATTCAAAGTGGATCAAAGATCTTAATATAAAGCCTGAAACTTGGAAACTACTGCAGGAAAGAACAGGGAACACTGGAACATATAAGCATAGGCAATAACTTCCTGAATAGAAGTCCAATAACTCAGCAATTAAGAGAAAGGATTGACAAATGGGACTACATGAAACTAAAATGCTTCTGCACACAAAGGAAACAGTCATCAGATTGAAGAGACAGCCTGCAGAATGGAAGAAAATCTTTGCCAGCTATACATCTGACAAGGGATTAATAACCAGAATATACAGGGAGGTCAAAAAACTAAACTCCAAAAGAATCAATGACCCAATGAAGAAACAGGCAAATGAACTGAAGAAATATTTCAAAGGAAGAAGTGCAAATGGCCAAAAGACACACAAAGAAATGCTCAACCTCTCAGGCCATCAGGAAATACAAAAAACCACATTAAGATTCAACCTCACTTCTGTTAGAATGATTGTCATCAAGAACACAGACAACAGCAAATAATGCTGAGGATGCAGACAAAAAGGAACCCTCATACACTGCTAGTGGGAATGTAAATTAGTACAACCATTATGGAAATCAGTATGGAGGTTTCTCAAAAAACTAAAAACAGAACTACTAATTGATCTAGCAATATCACTCCTGGGCATATATCTGAAGGAATATAAGTCAGGATATGATACAGACACTGGTATACCATGTTTATTGAAGCAGTGTTCAC